TCCCTTCCCTTCTTCGCGCGATTTTTCGCAAAAATTGCGAAGTCATTTCGATACGACTGTGCGATCGACGAAGTGGACCGATACAAAGATAGAAAATTACAGGTTGCTCGCACTGATTCAGGATGCGAGTGCATTTTTCTTCACGCACGGGAGAAGGGAGACAGAGAAAAGAAAAGCGGATGTGCTTTTCGGAGAAGCAGGCGGTTCGCGTTTCCGCGTAATCCGACGGTAAAGAATGAGGCTTGAGGGTAATGGAGAGGGACTACTCTCTTTCATCCCTCGAAGACGACGGCGGGACGAAACGGCCGACGTGTCGGAAACATCCGCTCGTTGGTTCAGAAGAAGAGAGACGGGACGAAACAAAGCCGGCGACGCCGCGACGAGCGAAAAGCTCAAGGGAAGAATTCGGGAGCGAGTTTCATTACGCGACGGGAATGCAAGCAGAAAGAGTAAACGAAGGATTCCGCAGAAATGTGGCTCTGCGAGACTTCACTCAAGAAAGTATGTCGTCCAGAAGTCCTTTACACAAATGTTACAACCGGATGTAAATTTGTACACTTACAGAAAATTCCATATATATAATTATTAAATTTCGAATAATAAACGAAGAATGTACATACAAGACAAAGACCTTTTACCATCTCTATCATTTATGATAGACCACACAACTTCTATTTAATTCTAAGGATACAGTTGTACTAATACTTTCATTTCCTTGACTTTTCTTTAGATATTAATCTCGGGGAAAATTGATAGAAGGAACCGTGGACTTATTCTTCGGTTATTCTAATAAAGCAAGGTTCTCCTAGTTTTAACAACTAGTTCGACAAATCTCGTTTTAAACTATTTCGACATTTCTGTAAACACAGCGAACGAAGTCGCGGCGATATTTACAAGAAGTGACGAGGTAGTGACGGTAATACCGCCGTAGGAAACATAATGTTCTTTTATTTTAAGAACGTAATTCTTTTGTCTTCAATTTTATAAAAGCGTTTCATGTCGACTACATCTCACCAACTGTCCGTCAGAGCCGCAAGATTCCACGTCAATCGAGCTCTTTCAGCCTTCGTATGCTCTTCACGTTAAACTGCTTGCATTATTCGCTACTGAAATATACGCGAAAAACATAACTTTTGTCAGGTTACTTGCCGCGAATAATTTCACCTTTAAAATAAACAACCGTTCCATTTTCAATTTACGAGATATTACTTTCGAAAGCAACCATATTTCCCAAACGAAATCGATTCCTTAGTAAATATATTATTAAGGCCCTGTTGATAAACATTTAAGTTAATAACCATAGAGAGGCAATAAGAGCCAAACGCTAGGTGTTGGATATAATATTACATTTAATTTTTAATACAGTTGAACAAGTCAAACGTTTCGATCAACCAACGTGACCCTTTTCAATGACGTCTAACGTCTAGCAACACAGATTATTTGTATCGCAACATTAATGATTAAAAATAAATAAATATATTGTTACACGTTAGATGTCATTGAAAAGGATCACATTGGTTGATCGAAACGTTTGACTTGTTCAACTGTATTAAACATTAAATCTAATATTATATCCGCACCCAACACCTAGCGTTTGGCTCTTATTGCCTCTCTGCGCTTATTAATTGAAATCGATTCCAGATCCATCGGACGCGCTGAACCTTAAGCACTTATAAGAACGCGATTTGCCGTAACCCGTGGCGATTTTATCCGATTGGAAATATCAGCAAACTGACGCGGATGCGATCGCCGCGCTGAGGCACTACCGTCGCACGAAGCGACAGCGAGGCTCGTTCAAGCGAGCGAGTCAGCTGTGTATACTACGCGCGTAGTAGGCGCGACCTATCCCACTCTCCCCCTCCTCCTCCCCCCCCCCCCACTCCGCCCACGACGCCTCATTCATAAATCGAATGCGCGCACGTAATTTTGCGGATGCCGTAACTTGGCGAAAAATTGACGTAATGACACGCGACGAAGATAGATCTTCTAAGCTCGCGATCGCGCTTCCACTCGTGTGCTTCGCGGTTGCGATTGTTGGAACATCGGTTCCAGCACTGTTCGTGGATATTACAACGGAATCGAACGCAGGCACGTGGAAAGAGGACGGAGAACGAATAGTATTTGTTTAACTATGATATTTGTACCTTTTACAACGATTAAGACTCTCCGTGTAATGTGACTCACAAGAGCTGGACGAATCTATGTACGTTTAGTTCTTCTTGCATTTTGAGCAGGTGCTATCGCCCAACTTTAAAGTTTCCTCAACTTAAAGTTCTTCTTGTATTTTGAACAATTACTATCGTCACAAATTTAAAGTTTCCACGACGACTCGTTTAATGCGACACTGATATCCTCGAAAATTCGATGAAGAAAAAGTGTGCAGACGTATTTTATTGTTTCAAATTGTACATTCAACGATGCATGAAGAAGGAATAAAAATCGTCGAATTTCCCCTGGGATTATCTTGGCAACGAGACTCGTTGCGATACGCGTGTAACTTATTTTATTTGTCTTGCAAATACATTTTTGCGAAATTGATTTCACTGCGGAAAAATGCTTGTACACAGATCGGGTGAGCAATTTTGAGGGTAAGCAATTTCAGAGTCGTAACTAGAGGGTGGAGGAGAACTGGAAAACCCGTCGGATTAGAAGTTGCGCGGAATCTTTCTTCTCACCTCGCGGAAACTCTCTCGAGATGCGAAGTTCGCCTGTAGTTTTCGCCCTGCTTTCATTTGCCGAGAGTAGAAAACACTTTTCGTTTATAATCCCGGAAATCAGGACGCGATTCTTCGCGCGACGATTGTAACGCAAAGCGCCGCTGCTGATTTTGCAACGGCATTTCCCGCTTTTTGTCCCCACATTTATGTCTCCCCCGCATGCAGCGCCACGTAATTTTTGCAGCGTAGCGCGCAAATATTGATGCCGTAAACAATGGGGAAGCGGGAGAGCGAGGCGCGAACGAGTTGTAGTCAAAAATAAAAAGCGCGGAGACGCGGAATCCGTCATGCATGCAATCGATGATGCATTCTATTTTGGGATTCCTTTCGCGTACCTCGCAGTGTTCCCGTATACCGGGTATATCTTTCTGGACTCACGTGAGCAAGCACAGCCGTCGTAAATATTTCGCATGATGCGCGCGTATCGCCTATTTTATTACCCCTTCACAAAAGTTACACCGACCAATTTTTATATCCGTGCGGAACCATCGCGCGCTTTACGGCTGCAAAAATGAGCGATCCTCCGGGAAACCGGTGCGCTTTCGCAGTTCACGAGTGAGGTTTCAAAAGATACTGCATCCACTTCCGAACAACTACGAATAAAATGAAACTGCCTTTCTTCTCTTATTTAAACGCGAAAGTGCAAGAAAGTTGAACTAAGTTTTTCGACGTAGTGATTTTATGATTTTTCTGGTATCACTGGATATCTAATGCAATTAGTGATACATTACGGATTCAGTTGAAATTAGAGACATTTTTTCTGTAATTTTTATGAAGATTTTTGGAGAAAGTAAAAAATTTCAAGATTTACAGTCAAAAATTTTTACAACTTTAACTTAATTAAATCGAATTTAGAAGTAAATAAATTTAAAACAATAAAATTCATAGGGCTCGGACGTAAAATTACATTTCGAAGGAATAAAAGTTATAAGAGCCAAGACACGTTAGTGTATAAATGATTTTAAGTTTTAAATTTATTGTAAAAAATTTAAATAAATTTCAGTAAATTTATTATATCTTATTATATATATAGACGTTTTATAGTTGCTTATATGTAAAGAAATCAAAATCACAACTGTTTCCTTCTCTTTCTCTCGTCTCATTTTTAAGTCCGCGTGCCGCTCATTCATAATATCGCGCCACTTTCCACCACCGTGACGCGGTGCTCTGACGCGTCGGTCGTAGCAGCGGCGGCGGCAACCAATGGCGTCAGTGTGGGACGAAGACGACGCGCATGGAGGCCCTCTCGCTCTAGAACGGTCGTCAGTCCGCATTCATGATGTTGGACCGTGCGCCAATCGCGGAGACGTACAACGCTGTGCATCACGGGTCTCGAGATGGTGATGAGATGCGACAAAGATTATAAAAACGCGCAAGAAGACACCGTTTGACAAGTAAGACTTAAATATAGTGCACACGCGCGCGCGTGTATAACGTATACCTATATATAATGCACAGTGTAAGAATGCAAGGTGTGACGAGCGTGCCTGTGTAGTTCGTACTTTCCGCCAGAGGTCACTGGCAGTCGAAGGTACGTGCGTGTACAGTAATAGGCCCTGCGCACAATAGAGGAAATATTAAAGATAGGAACAAATATTAAATTTTTATAATATCATATAAAAATAATATTAAATATTAAAAGAGAGAAGAAGAAGATACAATAAATGTGGCGCGCAATGAAAAGGATTAAAATACAAGCTATGAATATAGGAATTGTGTCATGCAGTCATAATTCAAAATATTTATATTCTAACGCATGAATTTAAACAATTATGAATTTAATACATATTCCTAATCGTATATAATATTTCCTCTATTGCGCGCAGGGCCATGGTAGTGAGTTTAGTCCTAGTACATAGACGTTTCCGATATTTTATATCGTTGAAAGCTCTTAACTGGCAGCGCTGTGTGCGGTCACCATACAAAGCGCTATTTTAATGTCACACGGTTCCTAATGCTTATTGTTAGAGATACTTTATCGCGCCACTTTGCATTCTTGCACCGCGGTATAATGTATTGGTGCGCGCCTGCGTAACATACCTCGAGAGATATAATCTGGGAAGGTACTTTATGTCCAGACCGATCAATAATGATATTTAAATTTTGTATGATAATGTCCAATTTTGCTGATACAATCCTACGACTTTATGTGAATTTAAAAGGACAAATAGCAGAGCGATAAGCAAGAAGAGAGAAAAAGAAAGAAAGAGAGAAAGAGAAAAGAGTATTGCGAATAGAACTATAAGAGATGGCGCAGCAGTAGGTTTTCCGCTTTTCCAGTAACATCCAGGGCCGTAAATTGTTCTTCAGGACTTCGATCAAACTTCGATTAACTTAGGCTTCCTTTTTAGGAGACACAAATCGACACAGGTTAACGCACTCGGACACAGTTTGCCACAGTTAAACGCAAAGATTAAAAAAAAAGCATTTCAAGAAAATATTCTATTGACAAAAGATTTATATCGAGATAGTGAATGTGGATGCGTTCTTCGGTCAAAAATACATTCCAATTCTCTTCCTGAGCAGAGTCGAAGGGTGTGTCGATTGAGTTTGAATGAAATTCTACCATGGAAAGCGACGTGTGTCGATTTGTGTTAAAAGTGTCGACTGTGTTTCCTAAAAGGCAAGTAGCATCGGCGATTAACTCATTAGATAGTATACCCATTTTATTTTTTTGATATGGACAGGACACAAATTCTTTTCTCCGCTTACTATTAGGCAATAATAGGAAAATCATGATCTTGAACATGAGTCTGTATATACGTCTGTATTGCCGTAATAAATATCATATTTTATTACCGAGACAAGAGGCAAATAAACGATCGATTCGATATTACTGAACTGTAATTTTTCAAAATAACAAACGATTCGGGCAGAAAGTCGAGAAGCGAGTAGGAGTCGCAAATATGTGTTTTGGCTACCTGTACAGCGTGGCCTCAATCTTCCTAATTTCGGTTAAAAAATGTATTTAAAAAACGTGATTTTAGAAGTTTTTGGGCACTGACTTCTTAAGGAAGCATTCCTCGGCATATGTTTACGGAAAATTTTCGTTCTCTCTAAAACTCAATCACTTATAACTGTATATCAGTGACTATTCACTGTTTTCAGTAATAATCCACTGATTAACTTTTAGAGAGTTCACAATTAAATAAGATCCTATAAGGTCTCAAATAGTCTGGTCGGAACGACTGGGGCCACCCTGTATATAAGAAGCTTAAAAAAGACTAAAAAGCAAAGATAAATCTACCATTTTTACGCCATTGCTCTCCGATGCCCAGTTCTTCTATAAAAGACGACGAATGGTGGAAGTTGGTGGATGTGTTTAGCCGTAATTACAAGAATGCATTCATTCGATCGTCACTGTGCCCCTCGTCATTTCACGGACGCTTACTTCGCAGGCTACTGGCTGAAAATGTCGAACAATGTCATTCCGACTTCGGAGCCGGCGGCAACTTCCTCCGACTCGATCGCGAGTGCCGCAGCGGTGGATCGATCATCACCGCAGAGAGAACCGGAAACCAAACGACCACCCTCGCCGTTATTGCGTTCGTTACCATCGTCGGTCCGAAGACCGATCATCTCGAGGTAAAAAAGTATTTTTGTATAAAATAAAAAGAATCAGCGCCAAAAATAACGTGGCGATCGACTGACGAATTTAAACAGGTCTCAGCGACTTTCTTATATTTAAAATACGCATCCGTGGTATATGGTTAGCTTAACCAGAAAAAAGCGTGAGAAAATTTACAAAATCGTAAATTCTCGGCAATCTAACCGACGAGATCTCTGGTGCCGATCTCGTACCGTAACAATTTAGTTCCGAGACTCCCCGATGTCGTGCGTAAAGGCCGAATCAGACTAGCAGTTGCCGACTTGGCTTGGATTGGGATTGGCGATAGACGATTTTGTCTTCTGGCCAATGAGAGCAAAGCAGCCAGCGATTTAATTCTCATTGACTAGAAGACAATTGCCAATCGCCAATCCTAATCCAATCCAAGTCGACAATTGCTAGTCTGATTCGGCCTTAACGGCGAGTGCGTCGCTTTCTGTTTCAAGGGGACGGCCCGTTCACATGTTGTCGAAGGAGCAGATGAAGGCGCAGCCGATCAAGTACGTGCGCTACCTCAAGAACGTCAATTGGGACGAGGTCTCGAAAGATCCGGGGGAGGCAAAGATCGTCTGGGAAGTAGCGATGGAAGAGCTAAAGGCGGACTACGACAAGATAAAGAATCTACAGGCGCACGTTCGCCAGCTTAGCGTAACCATTCAGAAGTTCAAGAACGCATTGAAGGCGCGACAGAGGAGAGCGATCTTTGCTAATGCCTTTCGTTAAGTTTTTACAAGTACATTTATACGTTTGTACTTTTGTGTGGGTTTTTTAAATCTATAATTCCTCGTAAGTTTTCCCGGCGATTATGTGAAATCGATAAAAACTAGAGGTGGGGATTGAATTTGTAAGTCCTCGAAACTCGATTCCGAATCTTTTTAAGGCCACAAAACTCTCGAAGCTCCAGAGGCTAACGAAAAAAAAAGGATTATTTTATCAAGAACTTCACTTTATAATTCACTCTACTGAAGGTAGGATGTTTGCGAGAGTTTATCGACCTTCTCAACATATGAATATAAAAGTTTCTTTAACAATCTCGACAATATCAGCTGAACTAAGGCTGCGGTCAAGCAGTCGCTTCAAATATTTCAAAGTATTCTTCTTTCCCTTTCTTTCAGTAAAAATGGAAGGAGAAGAGAAACGCTTCGAAGCATTTGCAGCGGCAGCTTGAGCAACCTAAGATAGATTAAATTTTATAGCATTGGCGTCATTAAAAAGTTTTTTTGCGAAGGTGTCTTATGTGTTTGCGGATTGTGTTCGCTTCAGGTTTCAAATCGCTAAAATAACGCAAAGTCTCGGAGTTCTCAAAACTCGAAACGTTTTCGAGGACCCGAGGTTTCGAGCGATCCATCGCTTCTTCTTCTTCTTCTTCTTATCCTTAATGGCTCCTGGATCCAAGGCGGCTCCAATATTGCCACGGCTAACCAATAGTCGTTCTCTATCTTGCACTGCTTTTTACCTGCTTGATCTCAAGGCACTATCAGTCGCCTCTTACGACACGGAAGGCTAGCCGGATGATCTATTCGCAAGCGGATCAACACGCCGAACGATCCATCGCTAAATACGAGGGTGGATTGAAAAGTTTTGAGCCTCAACATGAAGATGCCATTACTTGTCGTCGCCACTTCAGTACTGCGACCATGGACGTATCCAGGGGGGAGGGCAGGGGGGGCAGCTGTCCCCCCCTAGACTCAATGGGATCCCCATTGAGATTACGAATAATATAATTAATAGATTTGCCGAGGACTCCAGAAAATTAATTTTTATATAAATAAAAAATTTGTCTTATAAGTACGTAGTTTAATTTATGCTGCATAATTCGCCTACGGGTGAATCCTGTTCTGCCCCCCCCCCCCTTGAGAAAAGTCTGGATACGCCCATGACTGCGACTGTACATGCTTTGAAGGATACCTCTGAAAATTTCAGCCATTTGGGACTCTCAGTTGTTGTACGATAGTCGTTTGTGTCAGTGGATGTCAGTATTTTCGTAAACATGGAAAAATCGAAGATCGGGCCAAAATTCACGATCGTTGCAGTTCGAACTGATTGACCACCCCCCATATTCGCCAGATCTAGCCCCCCCATTGGCTTTTTTCCATTTCCTAAACTGAAAGTCTGACTCGAAGGACAGACATTTTCATCGAAATAGGAGGTCGTTGCATCCGTAGATGCCTATTTTGCAGAGCAAGACGCCAACTATTATTTGAACGGGTTAAGTCAGTTTGACCAAAAAAAAAGTTGTTCCTATGTTAGGCTCAAATCTTTTCAACCCACCCCTTGTAAAAAACCCTGACGAATAATAATACGCAAATTCTTTGAAGACACAGTGTTAATTACTTACTACTAAAAGGGAGTTTACCCTTCTGACGTTAAAAACTTTAAAGCTTCGTAATAAACTTTGAAACTTCAACTATAATCATTTCGTTTTATTTTACGGGCACCCCTAGCCACACTTTAACCTCCGCTAAATGTAAAATAATAGAGGAAAGTGTCCTATTATGAGATAAGCTCCTAGCACGAGATAGCAGAGTTTCTGCTAGATTAATAGGCATCATCTGTTGGTTCCATCGTGAATTTCTTGCCCTCGGGGTGAAATCTGTTTAGTGGAAAATTCATTGTTATAATAAATCGTATAATTGTTGCGAACAAAGATTTGTGATTGAATTTGGATGTTAAAAACGTGCTATCTCACAATAGTGGGTTTTCCGTCGTCATTTATTAAATATTCAGTAATATACGACGTTTCTTCGCGGTTTCGCGTTAAATTCTCGGACTTACTCTCGATTTAGTTAATCACGACAACAAATAGTAACGCGGGACATCCAAGCGGTAGCGGAAGTACCGCAATTACGCCGCGAATAAGATCCGTTTTCTCTATTATGGTGAACGAGACTAAGCTGATACCCGCTGTCGCGCTGTTTGCGCCCGACAATGCGACCGTACGAGCGGAGAGGCGCGCCGCAGCGAAAGCAAATGCGCTCGTCGATGGCGGATCCTTTCAGGGAAGACAAATGCGAGTCCTCGTTCGCATTCGCTGCACTCTCTCTCTCTCTCTCTCTCTCTCCCTCTCTCCTTCCATGACAGCGGTACGCGACGCGTGTAATACGTTTACCACCGACAGCAATCGGGGAGAATGCACGGGACGCAACGGGGTAAACTAGAAATGGGAGGTCGCCGGCGAAAAACGAAGAACGAATGCCGCCAGCGAGACGGCTGTGCGAGGGATGAAAGCGGCGGAGTCGTTTTTTTCGTTACGCGCGTTATTTTCGGGCGAGCCACGACGAAAAAACGGTGGTATCGATGTAGCGAAAATTAGAATAATAGCCCGCGCCGAACACATCATTAAATACTATTTACTGGAGATAATGTAATAATCTGCAAATCACGTTAAATTATTTCAACTTGAGATTAAGTTAGGCCCAAGTGCACTCTTCGTTAAGGTTAATTTCCTCAAATTGCCGGTATTAATAATAAAATTCCAAATTTCATTCGGCCTCAGCTGACCGCATTTATTAATTTATTAATTTATTAATTAACCGGCCAATACAGATAATTTATTGCGAAAAATATTACCTCAGCCGGGGTTTGAACCTGGACTCCTCTCCAGGCGGGCATCTCACCAATTCGACAGACAATAAATTATCTGTATTGGCCGGTTAATTAATAAATTAATAAATTA